CAATGCCAATCGGGCTTTCCCGCGAGGCGAAAATTTGGTCCCCGTTTACGGGCGATTTTGCGGACCCGGCCGAAGCGTAGGTGACTAACTTTGTCAACCTCGGTCTGCTCTATTTCCGAACCAATCCGAATGAAACTCGGCAACCAATCAGAAAATAGGGCAAACTAATGATATGTGGACGTTGAAGTTCGTACACATAAATTAACCTATACTTTTGGTGTCGGGAACACTTTCGTATCGTGAACACCGAAAACTATAAGGAGTTTGAATTTCAACGCCCAGATGGTCTATCTATCTATCCTCTATAGTGTGCTCAAATTTGAGAGTTCTGTGTCAAGTAGTTGTTTAGACCCGATCGTAAATCTACGACTATCCCCCTATCCAAAGCGGCTTCGCACGGAGACCGGCCATTTTCCCCTCACTCTCGTGGCAAATGTAAGTGACCTACAAATCCCCGCATGACTATTCCGGACCCGTTCATTTGTCACTTGAAATAGGGCAATGGCGGGCGTGCGCATCCGGTTGTTTTTCTCTCTATTCCACTGTAACATCGCAATGGGGGTATTCCGAGGCGAGGTTATCTCGTCTCGGGGTGTTCGCGTCTCAACGGGGAAAAAGAATTTTTAATTGTACGGCATGCTAGATTGAATTAACTTATCTTTTACGGTTGGCATGGTCTAAAGTCATCATAAAAAGCTTTGCAATTATTTAGTCACGCTGCCGACATATATTCTTAAAGATCCCATGTTGTGATACGATGCTATAAATAAAATGGACTTTTTTTTATTTATGAACCGATTCTCAAAATTCAAGAAGCATGATTATTAGAATTGAAAATTCTTTCTTAGGTACCAAAAAAAAGGGGGCAAAAGTGAAAATTTAAATTTTCATTGGCATTGCTATATTATTTTAAAAATTGTTTTACACATGTGTTTTTCTGGTACTGAGGTTTTGATAACTGTATTTGTACAGCCTTTCACTATTGTGATGTGTTGTCAATGATAATGTCCAATGTGTATCCTTTCTTGTACATAACAATGATGACATGTTCTGTGCACTGCGTCATTGTTACAAAGCTTGCCATTCATATTACCATTATGAATGGAGTTCATAGTGTACAAAGTGTTTGTTTACTAAACAAATGGAATTTAAAGTCCATAATTTGCCTTGCTGCTTATCTGTTTTTGTCATCACTGTTACATACAAGAAATACAGTAGTTGCCAAACCAATAGACCCATATCTCCAAAGCCGTACCTCTCCTTGCTCTGATACTCTAGGAATATGAGCACTAAATGTCAATCTGTGACTGACAGAAAAGAGAGTCAAATTGGTAAGAAAAATTTTTTTGCACCACTGAGTCTCAAGAGAGTCTCACGTTTTGGCAATTGCTCATATTATTACTCATCACAGGTCTCAGGAATTTCAGGAAAGTGGCTATTCTCACCCGCCCGGAAGTACTCGCAAGATCAACTCCTCCCCCTTTTTCTCTCTCTCTGTCTCTTTCTGAATACTGTCTATCGGTGTGGACGATCAAATTGACCAAAACAAAGTTAAAAAATGATGTTAAAACACAAAAGTAAATTAATTTGGTTGTCTACAAAGATGCTACGGCTATTTAACTTTTCGAATCGAGCCGTTTTGTTTTGCCCGGAAAATTCTTGCGCTACTCCTCTCTCTCTTTCTCTCTCCCCTGCCCACAGACAAAATTGTACGCTTTTAGTAGGCTACAGTTGTAATGGAACGTTTGTTCACGGCACAGAATTCTACAATTTTTCTGTTATCACAGTGTAGAATTCTGTGGTTTAGGGTGAATGCAAAATTTGGTGAACGCGCACCGGGTGAGAATAGCCACAAGACTCGCCTGCACTATTCTCACTCGGGGTGAGCTATCGGGTCTAAATAGTTCAGTTGATAGTTCTCACTCGGGGTGAGAATAGAGGTGGCCGAATTTCAGACCTTCCTTTTAGACTTTCTCAGCCTTTGGACACGCCCCTATATTCCCACATGAACGGGTCTAAATAGTTCAGTTGATAGTTCATATACAGTAACTTCAAGGTTTCAATACAACAGACAATAAAAACTTACCTTTCTTTCAAAGACAGGGTTTCTGGAGCAGAATGATCCAATCTGCCTTCTGGTAGGGGCCCCTTTTCAGCCATGACAGTAGAGGTGGCGTAGTAACGAGACTAAAAATACAAAAAAAGTGTACAACTTCCGTCTCTGATTCCGTACTTATACATTGTGTGAAAGAACTTACAAGAATTATCCACGATCAAAACTAAGACAGGACATGGATCTTTAACGTGCGCAACTTGCACACACGACCTCCAAGAGTTTTTATCGTCATCCGGAAAGGGTAGGTGTTAGATCTTACCTACCCTAAGAACAGGGGTGTGGCTGAAAGACAGAAGTAAGAAGGAGCCATGGAGTAGCACTGCCGTGATCTGACAAAACGCATTTTTTCATTTTGGCGCGAAATTTTTTTATTCCACTAATGAATTCTACATGTCCAAAGCCAACT